GCGCCTGCCACAACACCTGGCTATTTTTTGGTTGCAGCCATGATTGTTGTTTGGCGGGCCTGGGCTGGATTCGAACCCACCATCTTAGGTGTATGTGGCTGGCGCCTTAGCCACTTGAGCCGTAGGCGCTGAGCCCAGCACTGCTATTTAAGACAAAAAAAAAAGTGGTAGCTTATGGCTTTAATCCTAGCACTCTAGGAAGCTGAGGCGGGAGGATTGCTTGAGCTTGGGAGTTGAAGACCATCCTGAGCAAGAGTGACACCCCATCTGTAAAACTAGCCGGGTGTTGTGGTGGGAGCGTATAATCCCAGCTACTTGGGAGGCTAACTCAAGAGGATCGCTTGAGCCCAGTTTGAGGTTGCTGTGAGCTATGATATCACAGCACTCTGTCTCCAAAAAAAAAAAGGCAAAAAGAAGCTTTAAGACTTTGGCTATAGATCCGTTTTATGGCAGCCTCAACTTGTTTGATTGGGAATTTGTGAGTTAAGATAAAGCAGTTTAGGCCCATGAAGCTATCTAAATAGGACTTCCTTTGTGAAGTCATCTACTTGTAATAGTGTTGCAAAGTATGAAATACAAAAATGGATAATGAAAAAAATTAAATATCTAACCATTTTTTAAAATGTGTTCAAGACCTTCTGTGTTCCAGCAACCAGTGATCTTTTTGGGAGCAGATGTCACTCATCCACCTGCTGGTGATGGGAAGAAGCCTTCTATTGCTGCTGTGAGTGTCATTAGGCATTTTCTAATTTTCTTTGTAGCCAACTTTAATAAATGTTCTTTGGGGATTTTATTTGTTTTTGAGACAGGGTCTGGCTCTGCTGCCCAAGCTAGAGTGCAGTGATAATCAACATACCTCACTGCAACCTCAAAGTTCTTGGCTTAGGCAATCCTTTGGCCTCAGCCTCCTAAATAGCTGGGGCTATAGGCACTTGCCACCATGCCCAGCTAATTTTTTAATTACTTGTAGAGACAGTTTTGCTGTGTTGCCCAGGCTGGTCTTAGACTCCTGGCCTCAAGTGATACTCCCACTTTGGCTTCCCAAAGTGCTAGAATAATAGATGTGAGCTGCTGCACCGGCCTCTTTGGGTTTTTGAAAAGAATTAATTATTCTCTGGTTTGGGGGCTACAAGTTCCATATGTATCTATTAAATCAAGTTTGTTAATTATTTTACTCAAATCTTCCGTATCCTACTTCAGTTTGTCTGCTTGACCTCTAGATGAATTGTACATTTTTAGTTACTTTTTGTGATTCAAAGTGTTTGTTTATATATTGTAGCAGTGTCTTTGTCACAGAAAGATGCATTACAATAAGCTTAGTATGTTACATTTTTTTCTTTCTTTTTTTCTATGTTTGCTTGCTTATTTATTTCATAATATAACAGGGGTACAGATGTTTTGGTTACATAAATTGCATCTGTACAGTTTGAGTCAAAGTTACAAACAAATCTGGCTACCCAGATAGTGTGCATTATACCTGTTAGGTGTGAATTTACACATCCCCTCCTTTCTCCCACCTGCTTGATTTCCAATGAATGTTACTTCCATATATGCATATAAGTGTTCATCAATCAGTTCCAATTTAATAGTGAGTACATGTGGTATT